CACTCACTCACTCACTCACTCACTCACTCACTCACTCACTCACTCACAGATGCTCAGGGGGGAACAGTTACTGAAAACCAAGAGCTCAGGGGCTGGACATCCATAAGTTATTGTCATTAAGTTTGTCTTTTCATTTAAAATCTAGTTTTATTTAAAATGAACCCATTGGTGAGTCGAACTGAGTTCGTCAACGGGCCTGATTTACCATACCATACCAATTTATTTATAGAGCATTTAAAACAGCAACAAGGCCAACCAAAATGCTGTACAAAAGAAAACAAACATGCACAGCGGACAGGAAAACATAAAATAGAAATACAGATACAAATAGCAGCAGAAGCTAACTAAAATGGCCAACAGTGTAGAGTACAGACCGGACCAAAACAAATCACAACGTGGTCAAGGCAAGAGAATAGAAGTGGGTCTTCAAGCGAGACTTAAAGGCTGAGAGTGTGGGAGCCTGCCGGACACTCAGTGGCAACTCATTCCACAGTCGTGGACCTGCAACAGAGAAAGCCCCGTCACCTCTGAGCTTACGACGGGTTTCTGGGACTGAGAGAAGCATCTGGTCTGCTGACCTCAGAGAGCGCAGTGGGACATATGGCTGCAGAAGATCAGTGAGATAGGATGGGGCGGAACTGTTCAGTGATTTAAAAACGTACATGAGAATTTTGAATTGGATCCGAAGGTGAATGGGTAGCCAGTGCAGGGAGGCCAAAACTGGCGTGATGTGCTCTCTATAGTCTGTACCAGTTAAAAATCGGGCTGCAGCATTTTGGACCAGTTGTAGACGAGCAATGGAGGACTGACTGATTCCAAACAGAAGTGAATTGCAGTAATCAAGCCTAGATGTTATGAAGGCGTGGATCACTGTCTCAAGGTTCTTTTTGGAGAGTATAGGCTTCAGCTTAGACAGCCGTCTCAGCTGAAAAAAAACAGGATTTGACCATCATGTTTACGTGACTGTTGAGTTTTAAGGATGGGTCCATTATCACCCCCAGATTAGTGACCTTTTGTTTCTCTAGCGGGGCTAGAGAGAATAGGTCAATGTCGTGGTTCATGAGTGAGCCACTGGGATGGAACAGCATGACTTCAGACTTCTTCTCATTGAAGCTTAAGAAGTTTAAAGCCATCCAGTCCCGGATGTCAGCCAGGCAGTCAAGAAGAGGCTGAATAGAGCGTGTGCCTCTGTGCCTCAGGGGGAAGTAAATTTGGCAATCATCGGCGTAGAAATGAAAGGGTATGTCGTGTTTGCGGAAGATAGCACCTAGTGGCAGCAGGTATAAAGAAAAGAGAAGGGGACCGAGGATGGACCCCTGCGGTACCCCCCACTGGAGCGCTGTCGATGCCGAACTAAAACCTTTGATATTGACACAGAAGGTTCTGTCAGAGGTAGGACCCAAACCATTTAAGGGCTGACCCTGTGATGCCCACCCACTGCTCCAGTCTAGAAATGAGGATATTGTGGTCGATGGTGTCAAAAGCAGATGTAAGGTCCAATAGGACAAGCAGCACAGAATCACCTGCGTCTGTGGATATGAAAATGTCATTAAAAACCTTCAGTAGAGCAGTTTCAGTGCTATGGAGAGATTTGAAGCCAGATTGGAATAACTCTAGGATAGTGTGATCCCCCAAAAACTGTTTCAACTGAGACTCCACAATTTTTTCCAGTAGTTTAGAGGTGAATGGGAGTCTGGAGACAGGCCGGAAGTTGGACATGACTGAGGGGTCAAGGTTAGGTTTTTTCAGGAGGGGCTGGACAGCAGCATGTTTAAAAGTCTTTGGCACCACACCTGAGGATAAACTGCTATTCAGAATAGCGAGGATAAAAGGACCCAGGGTAGGAAAAACTTCCTTTAGCAGTCGAGGGGGGACCACATCAAAGGGGGAACCAGATGGCTTCATGCTGCGCATTACCTGCTCCAGAGAGGACAGAGAGATGGGCTCAAAGTGGTCAAACACAGCCACACACTGAGAAGGGATGGACAGATCATGAGCTGGTGGAGAAATGAGTGCCCGGGTGTTTGCCACTTTTTCTAAAAAGAAATGGAGGAAGTTCTCACACAGCTCAGTTGAGGCTGAGGCTATTATGGAAAATAGTGACCTTCATCACAATATGCTAATTTTTTGAGAAGGACCTATATATATATATATATATATATATATATATATATATATATATATATTCCCCTTATAAAATATAAAACAACTTTAAACAATCACTTCATTTAATCACTTTAATATCCTCTTTAAAGCTAGGAATAAAATGAAACTTGTTTTGTGTTAGCAGAATTTAATTCTAACTTTAAAACTTATCCAACATTAATAAAACTTACCTCAAGTTGCAATTTTGGACATGCATGCATATATTTGTACAAATTGTACTTAAGAGGAGATTATTACAGCCTCATATAAAATCAATGATCATAATATCGGAACTGGATCGGTATCGGCCGATACTCAGATCTAGGTATCGGGATCGGAAGTAAAAAAAGGGGATCGGTGCATCCCTTACTTGGGGCAGTCGCGCTCAGTCTGTCCCTCCTCAGAGACGGGCAGACTGAGCGGGGCAGAGTGGACGCGGCTGGCCGGGGTCGAGTCGCCTCTTTCAGTTTGACCAAAGAGTAGTGCCCCGCTGAAGCTACGGAGCTCGAATGTCCATCGTAAAACTAACTAACGTGGTTTAATGTGGCGCTATGGCTCTGCAGACATTGCACGTTGCTGTCTTGTTTTGTGGTGTTTAGTGTAAAATACTTCCACACAGCGGACATGTTTAGAAGAAAAGCTGGTTAGCTGTTAGCCACAGTGCTGCTAACTCAGCCCTCACATTGTAGCTGGCTGCAAACTATGAACTGGATTTCCTGAATATGAGGCGGGTCTTATTACTCTGGGTTCATGAGACACGCCGCCGTTCAGGAAATCCATTCCATAGTTTGAAGCCAACTTGCATCATGGATTGGAAATATCGGCAGGTGGATCGGAAAAATCCGATATGTAAATTATGCTGGTATCAGAGGCCGATACAGATACTGGATCGGCTCGGCCCCATCCCTAGTTAAAACTTTGTTGTATAGATCTGTAGCATACTGCTTTAATTATAAGTTCCACTTAAACAATTTTTGTTAGAATTTCCTTAGTAGCCATTATTAATCATCTAAATGAATGAACGAACGAAAGAACGAAGTTTAAAGTCTTATCTGGGAAAATTAAAATTTTGCTGTTCTTATTGACATAAAGGACCAAAGCAAAATTAGCTTAAAGACTTGGATAGTTTAAGGTTTAAATGAGTCGGGGTGTTACAGTCTACTAAGTTGAACCATAAAGAGTGACAGATTTTGATTAAAAAATTTTTTTTAAATAAAACTAATTTAAATCAAAGTAGCATTGGAAATTTATGAGACCATAAGATCATTTTTAGGAGCTCTACTCTTTCAGCAAGGAACAAAACAAGTTACAACATCTCCTTGACCTAAGCTAAGCCTCTTGCAGTCCTAACAACTCTCCTCACCCACTGCCCCTGCAAGCCCCCTCCGCCTTGTTTCCTAGTAACTAGAAAGTATGTTGACCTGCAGTCCACAGTGTCACAGAGCCATCCGGACAAACACCTCCAGGATTGAGGGTAAAATTAGCAGAGGTGGAATACATGCATGAATTCAGCTGACACTGAGCATAAAGGATCAGCAGTCCTTTACGTTCAGAGGGCAGCTCGTGACAATGGTGCCTGCCTTATAATTGTTAGCAAAGAGTCTAAGAAAAGGAGGATTCAGTGTCACAATTACCCTGCTGTCAAAGTGTTGGCACCACAAGTTCAGAGAAGCCTTTGTAGAGGTTTAATCTGAAGCTAAAGGGTCAAGAGCACTAAAGTAGAGAAGCATTCCTTCATTCTACTTAGTGAACCCGTGAAACAACCAATTATTTTCAGTTTCTTTCATTCTCTACTTATTTATTCCTAATTAGCAGTTGTATTATCATGTTTTAAATTATGACAAACAAGTCAATCTATGTACAAATGATTATAAATCTGTTTGTGTCTTTACAGCTCAATGAAACAATGCTCATAATAGGTTTCATGCAAGAAGAACCAGGAGGGCTCCACTATTGGCACAAAAACACATGAAACCAGTCAGGAAATCTCCAAAATGCAGGGTGACTACAAGCCCCAAGGCTTTTGGGAAATAAATAAATACATTCTAGGACTGAAGAGGCAAAACTGGAGCTTTTTGAATCATTCATTTATAATTGTAGAGGATACCAACGCATTTATCTGAGTTTGTATATTTAAACGCCAACAGATGGTAGTAGAGAAATTAAAATATGGCAAGTCCTATATATAGTCACAGTTTCCAATTAAATATTAAGGTAATATGATTTCTGTTAAACCACCAAAATGCTTACCTGGACTGTTTGTCGATCAGGCAGTCCACCGTAAACTGATATCTGAGGCACTGCCTGTCTTCCTGCAGTGGCACTATTGCTAGTAATACTACTACTGCTAGAAGTAGTAGAAGAAGCAGTAGTGGTGTTAGAGGTACTGTTGCTGGTAACAGCTGTGGTGCTGGAGGAGCTTGTGGAGGTGGTGGAGGAAGAGGTGGTGGAAGTTGTTCCAGCACTGCTGGCAATAGAAGCAGGGGCCCCGGGATCACTCTCCATGGTGCCCTCTGCTCTTCTCACCTTTGACCCCCGACTCTTCTGAATGGCTCTCCTGTGCCTTAAATACAGAGATTTTGAGGGGGTTAGGACATATGAAGAAGAAAAAAAGACAAACTGTTTCTTTGAGCACAAACTCACAACATGGGCCTCCAAAATTACAGATGGCGAGTAGATAAATCTCATCATGGCAGATATAATTCAGTATGAAGTGAAATTAAAAAAAAAAATAAAAATACAGTTTAAGAAAGTCTACAATTAAGGAAGACACCAAGCGGCTAAAAAATTATTATTATCAGGGACAATTTTATAACATAAACACTGAATACTAAAGTGTTATTTAGTTAAATAGTGCATTATTTTTCAGTAATATAAACTCAGAAATTTAATCAAGGCTTCAACAAGCTTAATTTGTGAGCATTAATCTTCATTCAGATGAAAAGCAAAAGTTAAAATAACAGAATTTTTGACACTTAAATCAAAACACTACTACTTGGGAAAATATGCCCGTTTAATTCACGAGTCTTGTTTATTAAAATTAAAATAAAAACTATTAGTCACAATTTGATTTAAGCTTTATTTAACCAGACAGGAGAGAATAAAAAACAATTGCCTGGAAAAAAAAAAAAAAGACTAAAAGTCTTGAAGGAGAGGGGAGAAAACGAGCAAAACAAGACAACAAAAAAAAGCATTACAATAATTAAACATGCTAAGAAAAATGTTTCCAAGGACACAGTTAAAACGGACACACCAACTCAATTGTTTACTAAAACGTAGCACAGCCATAGAAAAGAATAGACAGGATAGCAAATCTGTACCACAAAAACATCTGGCCATAAATCCTTTTCAAGTTTGGGAACACATCAAATTTTTTTTCGTCTTTATGAATGCATACTGCTGAAATGTATAGTAACAGTCACAAAAGCTCAATACAAGCTAAGCCAAAAAAGGAAAATAATTAAAAAATATATTAAAATGACATGCAAAAATAAAAAGAAATGCTAACATTTATTTATTTTTTTCTTTTCAGTCAATCATTTTGACAATAAGGGAAAGTCTACTCAACCACTGGTGACAACTGGTATAACAAGGCTGGGAAAAAAAAAAACATTTAGATGATGAGATTGCTGATTCTGAGGTCAGAGGTGATCAGTTAAGTTATTGTGCCTGCAAGGGGAAAAGGTTTAAGGATTGAAGGCTGAGCACACAAGTCGAAGGTTTAAGTGGGCTGGATTGGAAGAAGGGTGTGATGGAAGTAATTAAATAAGAGCAACACAGATGTCATGCTGGAATTTTAAAGCAATTTTCTTTCACTCCTTTTTATTATTTTTTTGAAAGGATTAGGACCTAAATCAAAGCCCTGTATCCAACCTTTTCTACAAAGGAGACTTCCATTTTACCAAGTTATGTCATTTCCAATAACAGAAAAAAATAAATAAATACATAAAATCTTCAAGTAGCTTCCACAAAGGTTGACGAAACTAAGTTGTGGTGCCCATCTTAAATTGAATCAACTAAAAAAATTTAAAAAATCAGTTGTAGATGAACAACCAATGGAATCTTCTTGAAAGTTTCACTACAATTCATTCAGTGGTTCATGAAATATCGTCTATTCAATAGTATTTCGACTCCAATTGTAAATGACAAGGGCAGCAAGGTGGCGCAACTGGTAGAGCTGCTGCCTCTCAGCAAGCAGGTCCTTGGTTCAAACCCCGGTCCAAGGGCCTTTCTGGGTAGAGTTTGCATGTTCTCTCCGTGCATGCGTGGGTTTTCTCCGGGTGCTCCGGTTTCCTCCCACAAACCAAAAACATGCATTTTAGCCTGATTGGTAACTCTAAAACTGTCCCTAGGTGTGAGTGAGAGAGTGAATGGTTGTTTGTCTCGTTTGTCTCTATGTGGCCCTGTGATGGACTTGCGACTTGTCCAGGGTGTACCCCGCCCCCTCGCACAGTGATTGCTGGACATGGGCACTGGCGACCCCCGTGACCCAAAATGGAATAAGCGGGTAAAGATAATGGATGGACGGATGTTAATGACAAAATTTAACTTATGGTGTTAATCTTTTCGCGCTCACAATATATGTTGAGGATCAGTCTCAGCATAAACATTTTGTTCAATGTCCTTAAGGTCATCTGGCTGTGGAGGTCATATTGAATCAGGTTGACTCTAAAAGTTAGTTAAATTTGAAGATTACGTTCTGAAAATTTCATTAAAATTCAAGTTCATGAAATATTTTAGTAAAATATACACAAACACGCGCACGCACAACATTTTTATTCACTTTAATTGTTAGCAATAATGAAACGCTTAAAATCCTAAACTCAACTGGAAATGCCAGACGTTGATGCAAAACTACACGTTTGCATGTTTGTGTTAGAAAAAGGGTTGAGATCTATTCAGACACCAAGGATTTGTGGTTGTAAACAAAGCACCACAGCTGCCAAAAATCTGCCTGCCTGTATGTAGTCATTAGCCTGCATCCTGCAGACTGCCTCATATTGCATCTCTTTAAATGAGGAGCAGAGAGAATCCCCTCTGGTAATGATAGCTTAGACCCCTGTCTTTCTGAGCAGAGTCACCCATCCATCAGTGGACACCCCCCACTTCAATCCCACTTCCACATCTGAAATGTGCCTTTAAAATGGTTTAGAAAAAAAAAAATCAAAGACTACTAGAGGGTAAAGACAACATGCACACCAAAGCACTACACCATACCACCACATTATCAGCACTTTGCTCCTCTAGTAGTAGAACGTATTGATCTACTTGTGCTGACATAAAACCACAAGAATTGACTGTCAGATTTGGGTCTGGAGGATGTGCACAGCCAGCAGACTGATGTGACATGTTCAAAGCCTGTCAGACAGACTGGTTGTCTTTATAAAGCTTACACCACAAGAAGGAAGTGCAGGAGCCTCTATCAGAGTCCATGCTTGGGTCTACATAAAGGGCAACTGTCATGACCCACATTCAAAATACCACAAGAAAACATTTCTCAGCTGCACTAATTGACTTCCATGCCTAAAAGCTTTAGGTCAGGAAATCTACAGAGAAGTTTGTGTGCGTAACGATACTCTGATGCTGAGACAAAGCCCCTCAACCCTTCATGCCTACCTCCTTCGACACCCCCAACGCGATGCAGGGGTATGATGCCCCATCCCCCGGGAGCGTGCTGTCCTCCTGCAGGATGCTGCTCCTCTTTGTCTGCCTCACTGAGAGGCAGGTCGGCTGACTGGCTAAACGAACGACTGAATGCGTCTGAGGGCGTTTCTGTGCTAAATTCAAACCCCCCAGCCCCTCTCGTCAACCCCCAACACACGGTGAGCTCCTCATCCCAGCATCAACACCAAAGTCTACCAACCTCCTGATTATGTGGTATCCTAGCGACAGCCAACGGGGTGCTTATGGAATCTCTGTGCTGAGCAGCGTGCTGATTGGCCAACAGGATCCTCTCTAATGAAGATGATAATGATTTTTTTGTCTCTCTCCTCCCCCTTTAAGGTTGCCTGAGTACAATTAAAACCATAGCCCTTTTAATACATAATTTTATTTTGTTGTATTCATGTAGAAATCTGAAAAATGTTTTATAAGTCCTTTAGTTGTGGCAAGGTTTAATTAATAAAAAAATTTTATAAAAAAAAAAAAGGGACAATGCACATTAACATGAGTATAATACAAGCACATCATAAATGTGCCAGATCTAGCCAAAGATGCTAATTTTAATCTGCATTTGTTAATGGTACAAGATAAAAATACTTTACTACAGAAAATTGTAGGCCTTTCTGACAAAGGTCAATCTGATGAAATTACAGCCTTAGTAAAATTACATGATTCTGAAAAAGAGTTATGAAAAAGCATAATAAAAAACAGTGGATAAAATAAAACAGTTATTTCTGATGAACAGTAAAATGCAAAATAGAATTTAAAAAAAAAAACTGCTTCCTCAAATGTTCTTTTTCAACATTTGTATTGCATGAAGTCAGATTTAAAACAAAGAAAAAATGTTTGCTTTAAATTCAAACATTAAAGTATCAATGCAAAATAAAAACGAGAAAACCATCATCATAAAACAGTTTTTGATAGAGGATGTAACAATGAAAATAATCTAAACTATTTTACTTGATCTCACCATAATATCATTATTTATTTCAAATTCAACCAAGATACAAGTCGGAACCTAGGAGGCACAAAAAGAACATTGCCATTGCTCTTGGTAAAATAAAATGAAAACCCCACCTCAGATGATTTTTCAGGTGTTTAACTCTTGTTGATTAATGAAGTTCTTACCCATACTTTGATACTGTGTGTTGAAATATTAAGTTTTATAATATGTTTAGATGTCATTTGTTATTTCATGATAAAAAAAAGAAAAGCTTACGTGTCACCATAATTGTGCACAGGGAGTAAGTGGGACTTAATATTCCACATCCCAATTGGGCAGACTCTGGTTCCAAAAATACAACATGGCAGTGCCTGTAAATTGGATCCTGCTGGCTTCAATTCAATGAGAGAAGGCGGGAACACTTGGTCCATTATTGTATTAAAAAAGTATGTGCACACGCCTAGCTAACCACAGCAAAGAAATGACAAACCATCTATTCAAAGCAGTTACAGAAACAAAAAAAACCTGCAAAAAATTTTTTATCCACTCATTAAAAAAAAAAAAAAAAGATATCACTGCAGGTGAATTTAGATGTTGCATGAATGACATCATAATTCATTAGTGTGAAACAGCCAAGAGAAAATCAGAGGATAATGGCATACTTATGGTCTGTCCCGCCACATTAACACCACGCAACTGTCTGGCTGCATGAAATGTGGCCATTTGAATCATTTGCCAGTGCAATGTGGAATTGATTGGGGCCAACCATGCACAAATCTCATTGATTATCATCTTCTCATTAGCATATAGATTAGTTAATGGTGCAGCCAGAAACACAAGCCCTGAGTCTTACACTTGGCTAACAAAGCTGTTCAGCAGAAGGGATCAAAAACAGACAGAAAAAATCATAGATGGAACAGCTCAGTTGGATATGAGTGGTTAGATTAGGAAACTTAAGA